TCTCTCTCTCTCTCTCTCACTATCTCACTTAACTCTGACAACAACTCTTTAAACTGGGCCTCATCCCTACTTTGCTGCTAAGGACGCTGACTGGGCCCAGGCAAGGTCAGGTAACTTGCCCAAGGGTCCATGGCTAGTCAGTAGCAGAGAAACGAAACGAACCTCTGTCCCTCCCCATCAGCTCGGGCCCTTCCCAGGCTCAGGCCAGCGCTGCTGTATGTTGCCTGAAACCATCTTTCTGGTGTGTCAGGGGGGATGTTGTACTTAAAAATGACCATACGTCATAAAAGAAAAGATTGATAAATTCCATTGCATTCACACACAAACACAACAAAACCCCCGCATGGCCAAAAAATACACCTTAAACAAAGCCAGATAAAGGACAAGCTAGAAGAAAAATTCTTACTAAAGTTAAAGCAAAAGGCTAATCTCCAGAACATATAAAGAGTTTGTAGTCACATACAAGGAAAAAAACAAAACCTAATTATAAAATGGACAAAACATGCAGACCGTTCTCAGTAAAAGGAAGGACAAATGGATGATAACAAGATGTTCAACCTCACAAAAAGAATACTCCAGATTTAAGATACACTGACATTTCTGTCCACCAAATAGCTCAGTTTCAATGTACAGAGAAATCCTAAAAAATAATTAGAAAAAGACAACCCCATTTTTATTTTAAAAATGAGCAAGAGACTTCAACTTGCACTTCACAAAAACCGGCGCATGTTCAACAGTCTTCAGAGAATGTACACGAAAACCTTTTCAGGAGCTACCACCACACAGCCTACGTGCAAGGCTAAAACGAAAAAGACTCCCAATACCCAGTCTGGGGGGCGCGGATAGCCCCTGAGCGTCTCACGACTGGTGGCGAGGGTGTAACTGGGACGGCCACTGCGGAAAAGGCTGCTGGCCTCATCCAGCTAAGCACGAACCATCCTGTGATTAGCAGTTCTACTCGAAGTCACATACCTCAGAGAAATCACTGTATTTTTATCATCCCCAGAGCAATCTTGTGACCCTGCATAGTCAGTCCTCCGAAGTCCGGTCCCAGGACACCACTGATCAGCTTCCCGTTGCTATAAACTGCATTTGCCTTTTCTAGACTTTCAGATAAACAGAATCACACTCTATGCATTCTTCTGTCTGGTTTCTTTTGCTTGAGATAATGTTTCTGAGATCCATCTGTGTTATTGTGCTGTGGTCTATCTATCTATCTATCTATCTGTCTGTCTATCTACCTATCTACCTAATTTATTATTCCTGCTGGATTTTAAATCAATTTTGTTAATCCTGTCAAAACAGTAGCTTTTGGTTTAATTCATTTTTATCCATTTGTCCATTTATTTCCTGGATTTCTGTCTTTATTATTTCCTTCGATTTATTTACTTTGGATTCAGTGTCTTCTTTTTTAGTAGGTTCTTGAGATGAAAGCTTTGATCATTGATTTTAGATCTATCTTCTTTTTCTAATATGAACATTTAAGGCTATACATATTTCTCAAAGTGCAACTTTAATTGAATCCCACAGATGATGACGTGTGGTACCTTTATTTTCATTCAGTGCCAAATATGTTCTAATTTCCATTGTGATTTTTCTACTCTGACCCATGGATTATTTAGAGCTGTGCTGCTAAATTTCCAAATAAAATATTGTGCATATTTTTAATATTTTCATATCACATTAATATATTATCTATTTAAATATTAAATTGCAAATCAATTTAAAATAAAAATAATGACTCTCGGTTTGGGAGTGAGAACCCCCCATAGCCAAACTTGCCCCCTCCCCCTTACTGCCCGCTCTCCTGTGTGCCGTAGCTCATCTCCACCCACCAGGAGGCTTAACATCCCCAAGTAGCTTCTCCCCTTCTCCTTCCTCACATCCAAACCACTGCTATGGCTTGTGGCTCCTGTTTACTGAGTTTTGTGGAATGCGGCCCCTCCTTTGCCATCATGTCAGTTGAAGGCACTGTTGACAGCAGTTTGCACAAATGCAATAGGTCCCTAATGGCCTTCCCACAAATTTCTCGTGAGTCACAAAGGGGGAAAGAGTGACTACAGTCCAGAAGCCTGGCAGGTGGCCTCTTAATCGAGTGTCAAAATGAACATCACGGGTAATGGCACAGATTGAAACCATGCACTGCTTGATACGATACAATGAGGAAAATGCAGTTGAAACCTACCACTTTAAATTTGTTGTCAGATAATTCTATTATTTTAAGTTAAACTGCATTAAATTTCCCTTTATACCGTTTGATTTTATAGCTCTCTTTCTTAGGGTTAGACCTCTCTGTGTGCATAAGAATTTGGGTTTTCCATGTCATTCTAAGTAGTTCGTGGAGCCGTTCATTGCTCTTTTGAGCCAAGATTGATTTTTAAAGTACTTGATCTTTTCTTATGTGCTTGGAGCCATAGTAGTGCCTTAAAGTATGAATTTACAGCCTGGCCAGGGTGGCTTATTTGGTCAGAGCGTCATCCCATAGCTGAAGGGCTGTGAGTTCAATTCCCAGTCAGGACACATACCTGAGTTGCGGGTTCAATCCCCAGCCTGAGTGTGTACGGGAGGCAACCAACTGATGCTGCTCTACCACACTGATGTTTCTCTCTCTTCCTGTCTCCTTTCCTCTGTCTTTAAAAGCAATGGAAAAAATGTCCTTTGGTGAGGATACAAAAAGTATGAATTTACAGAGAATCCTTCAAGTCCAGCCCTCTGTGTCTGTGCTAGAAAGAGCCAGGCTCTTCGCAGGCCAGGGTTTCGAATCCCACCGCTGCTCTGTGATCTTGTTTAGGCTTCTGAACTTCTTCGAGACCCAGTGCTGTTGTCCGAAAAACAGACAAGAAATGGACAGAACATAAGTCCTACCTCACAGCATTTTTGTGAGGATTGGGTGAAAGGACTTGGCAGGGCTTCCCAAACGTCGTTGACTTTGTAACTGAAACTATAACAGACTCCTCCGTGCAGACCGAACACAGCAGAAAGTTGATATTCTGCCAACAGGTGCAAAGGACTTTTCAAAGAAAAGGGCTCCAAATACATGTGACTGTTTACATGACGTGTGAGTGGTCCCTTACTCCAATTTCTGTCCGCGGGTCTCAGAGGACGTGAGCAGAACACACAGCGGCTGGGATGTGGAGTGTTCCTGGGTTACCACGTGACAAACCTGGTAGCAGGAACACCCTTTCTGGTGCCCATCGGCAGCTGGGGCTCTCTAACGTGCAGCAGTGGACTAGGCAAGACCAACGTCTTTCTCAGCCTTGAGGGGGTGGGGGACAGAGTCAAAGGCTCCTGCATTCGGATCCAAACAGCCAGCAGCAAGAATAGCATGTGGGGAGGGGGCATTGGAGGCTCAGGTACAAGAGGCGGAAAGCTAGAGCTGTGGATTCGTCTCCACTTGTCATTCCAAGGTTCTTTCCATGGGTCCTCTGTCCTTGGATTGGCTCACCAGCTGCCTTCCAGCCCCAGTGCCCTGCCTCCTGAAGTCAAGGCCAGACCCACACAGATCTGCATTTGAGTTACTGACCCCCCTTTTTTTCAAGGTCTCTCTCGTGGCCACGATGCCTTTCACAAGGACACCAGAGGTGGAATTTAAGGCAAGAGAGAAAGAACTGGAAAAGGTAAGTGACTACACTGTCACATTTGGAGGTCCATTTAGTTCACTGAAACCTGATAATACTTTTTTCAGCTTTATTAATGAGGCTCGGAGAGCTGGTATTAAACCCAGGTCAGTTAATCACAACATTTTTGAAATTATAGAAAATATAACATTACTTAGCTATATTAAAAGACATGGTTAAAATCTATGGTTTTATTCGTTGTAATCAGCCTAAAGGAATTATTTTTTCTTTCACTATTGCTATAAATTATCATGATAACAATGACATGTCCACCATGTATCAAACCCATGTTCATAGTAGGCACTATGCTAAACGCGTTGCCTGTTTGTCTGGAATCATCACAATCAACCAACACTGCGGATGGAGACAGCCTCGTTTTCTAGGTGAGGACAAGAGGAATCTCAGTTGTCGGTTACTTAGCGTTCTCACAACGTTACTTCTCTGTTTCCTTGTAATGTTTGTGATTGTCATCTTTAATGGCTACTTGCTAAAAACGCTCCCTAACTCACTCAACTCATTTTCCCTTGTTAAGTACAATGACTGACAGAGCCGGGCTCATTATTCATTCATTCAGTGAACCAACGTGTGATGGCGCCTCATGTTGTCAGTGTTGTGTTGGGTCCAAGGGATACAGTGGTGAGAAGATGGAAACACTCTGTCTTCTAAATGGCTCACGCTCTCCAATGGGAGCGAGAGGCAGGTACAAGACAGGTGAATGGGGGGCTAGTCCTAGATGTGGTGGGAGCACAGAGCAGGGAGCCCCACCACCCAGCAACGTCAGGAGAACAGATGCCAATGAAGGCCACGGACAGGCTGGAATCAGCCGAATGGCCAGCAGTTCACCACCTGCAAAAGCAACGACGGCCCCCAAACATGATTCACCCGTGGCTCTTTGATGGAACTTGGGAATTCAGGGGTTTAACTATTTTAGGATTTGGAGCCCCAAACTATTTTTATTCCATGTTAATTTTTTAAAAAAATAAAATTTCTGAGGTTTTATTGTATCATGATGCATTGAAACATCTGACCATCAATTTCTGGATGGTGAGGCAGCTGCTTTCTTCTTCACTTCATTGGGTTACTAGAGCAACTTGTCAGTAGAAGTTTTTAAAAAAAGGAAAAAAAACAATCTTTTGCATTATTTAAGGCTTTCCTAGGTATGTGCTGGTACAACAGAAACTTCTGGTACATGTAACTGGCCCAGTATCCAAACACAATTCCTAGGCAGCAGCGGCAGCAGCGGCAGCAGCAGCAGCACACTGGGCCCACTCCCTCCACAGCCCTGCTCATTTGTGTTTGATGTTTGGAGCATTTAGAGAATTGTGAAGAGTATCAGGAAGAAGCGGGAGGAGGAAACAGCCTGAAAGCCTGGCTGGGAGGAGCTCAGCCGAAGTGTGCTGGGCAAGCCTGCCTGACCATGTCGTGGGTGCAAACCCGAGCACCGTTGATGCTCTTTAATAGAAACGTCTGGTGGAACCCCACGACGGGGTCTTCATCGGCTTGAAGCTGGCCCACAGCCATGCTGGCGATGCCGCCGTCTGGCCTGGGCTGATGGGCCGGCGCCACAGTGCTGCGCTGGAGTATCTGGAACAGAAGGCTGGACGGGGTCTCCATGATGGCGGCTGCTCCCGGAAATCGCTGTCCTTCCCACACAAGGCATGACACTTCCGTGTAAATTGAGCCAAAATGGGTTCTGTTGTTACCAAGCGGCTGGTAGTAATGCTGCGTGAAGCTGGATCTGGTCTGCTCCCAGATCGGCTTGTCTCTCATTCTGGAGCATCACCGGGCTTTGTTGAGGCCCGACGGGCTGGCACAATGGCAGCAGTGGCAGCTTGTCATTCCCTAGGCCACAGGGGCCTGAGACAGCATTGTTCATGCTCTATTCAGTGCTCATGCCTCTGTTGTCCTTGTGGCAATGATGCTGATGACAGTGATGGTAGTGCTTGTGGTGGTTTTGACGCCTTCCTTTAACTGAGCATCTCCACGCTCACCTTATAACTGTTATTTCATCGACCTTCACCACAGCCCTAGCAGGTAGTAACGTTATCTTCATGTTTTTAGGTCAGAAACTAAACCAGAGAGGTTAAGGTGACTTGCTCAAGCTCAGCCTACTAATAAACAGAAGGAGCCAATTCTCTAACCAAAAGTGCTATATCACTTACACTGTTAAGGGCAGTGAGAGTTAAGAGCTGGTTTGACCTTAAAAGTGCTAGTGGTCAGTTATCGTGTTTAATTCACAATATATGCCCTGTCCCTTTTGATAAATGGCTTGAGGTAGATTACAACACGAGCATTGCCATGTGGCTTTAAAATGGCTAGCATTGAGTGGGAATTAAAGCCAGTATGCTAATTGTGGCCTTGATCGTTCGAGATAGGCTCCAAACTTCCTGGCAGCCATGGTGAAAATGTAGGTATGGCAAGTTGCAAAGCTATTATTATGGGGATACAGCATGCTTTTCTTACTCCTAGGACTCATTTAGAAAAGTAATTTTTATGATGGCACTGAGTTATGTCAAGAATAATATCCTGAATAATCTTTTTGGAAAAAGTAGAAGATGATTTCCCAAGGCTGTATTTTTTATATACCTTTTATAAAAACCAAAGGCAGTTACCTGCAGTTGGGTTTCCCAAAAAGCAGACTCTAAGACCGTGCGCTGGAGAGCTATGGAGGAGTCCTCTCAGGGACATCTGGGAGCAGTGGGCAGGGCAGTGCAGAGGGAAAGGTCAACTGCAGCGTAGTTGCCACAGACGCGTCACCTTCCTGACCCCATAAAAAGCTCTGGATGGCCCTCAGCTGGCCCTTCAGAGATGTCCTGCCCTAAGTCAAGGGGGCCAAGACTTTATACTCCTGGGCTGCTGTGGGCTTCTCCAGGGGAGGACACACCCTCTGCAACTGAAGACAATTTCCAGAAAGAGTCAGTTGTGAGCCATCAGGAGCCAACACCTCTGGCCACTGAGGGAATGTACACACTGGTCCAGAAAGGGAGACCTGGGTGGTTACCACAGCAACCTCACAGTCACCCCTTGCACCTGTCGTTCCAACTGCTTTGTGTAACAAACTTATCCCGTCATGAAATAGCTTCTTCAAGATGCTGGTGGTTTCTTCTGGAGGGAAACTTACAAGAGAAAGGTTACTGAGAAGAATTACAGCCCCCACTGCTAGAACTGGTCTTAAAGCTCTAACTGACACTCATCCTCCATGGCAGGCAGAATAATGGACCCCCAAAGATGATTTGCCTGGGAGTGATTGTTCTCTCTGAGGGGTGGTGCTCTGCCAGGTGCTCGGCCGTGGTCTCTGTTCTTGGCAGATAGGATGGATATTCAGCAGTGCAGTGGCTAGACCAGCCTTACTGGTTGGGAGCCTGCGCTGTTGACTTCATAAATGGCCTCCGTTCCTGGTTCTACTCTGGATATTTCATTGATACACTCATTGTGACAGTACACATGAGTATGGCTCATGACAAAAGCTGACTGATGTCAACTGACCAAGTCACTCTGCATGCTTGGCTGTTCAGTGTCTCTCCCATGGTGAATGCTTTCTGGTGAGCGCTTGCGTGTGATAAATGAGCTTCACTTCCAAAGGCCCATCCACATGCCTCTACCCTAGACTTCCTCATGCCTGATAGTCTAATCTTCCCCTTCCCAGGAAGGGAAGGGAGATCCACCAAGTCCCGCACCAGTGCCCATGAGTCTATGCATAGTCTTACCTTGGGCTTCTGTTTCCATGCAAAGTGGATGACCAAGTGTAGCTCTCGAAGTGCTCCCCCCAACCCCACAGGCGGGATTCCCTGTCAGCACTCTCACAGCGCCACACCAGAGTGGACAGCATGCAGCAGCAGCGCATCGGGGCTCCATGTACTCATGACCCATCTACGAGGCCTTTCCACCTCTGTCAGCTGGTCATGAAGGACCTGCCCTTATGAACACGGATACAAGTTGGAGGAGAGGGCCTGGTGCAAGAGTGATTCCTGCCAAGGGGATCTCAGCCATCAGCAAGTGCATGTTATTTGTGTGCTCTGGCTTTGCTCATGCCTAAACCCAACATACAACTTGCAGTGGATTGCTGGTGGACCTTCTTGAGCTTATGACTTAATGGGTATAGGATAACCCAGTTCCTGATGGGAAACTGTAGTACAGACCATTTCTAGAGTGGCCCCCAAAATGTTCTATCCTAATCCCCAGAACTCATGGTTATGATGAGATGGCCCTCCAGTGATTCTGTTTTGTTATACGGCACATTTGACCTTAAGATACGATTATCCAGGTGGGCCTGATCTAACCACGTGAGACTCTAGAAGTGAAGAGGTTTCTCTGGTTGGTAGCAAAAGAGAAGTCAGACAGATTTGAAGTATGAGGGGAATTCAGTACACTGTTGTTGGCTTCAGGATGGTGGGGGCCACCTGGGAAGGAATGCAGTGGCCTTAAATTGCTGAGAGAGGCCCTCAGTTGACAGCCAATAAGGGAACAGAGATTCAGTTCTATAGCTAAAATGGAACTGAATTTGCCAATAACCTGAATGGAAGCAGATTCCTATCTAGAGCCTCCAAATAAGAGCTCGGCCTGATTAACACTTTGATTTGGGCCTTGTGAGACCCTAACAGAGAACCTGTTTGACCTGTTCTGGACTTCCGACTACATCATTGTTACCTGAAAAAATCAGTGTTTCTTTCAGCCGTTACGTTTGTGCTGGTCTGTTCCACAACAATAGAAATACAATGCAGCATCTCTGGCCACTTAGTGACTTGACGTTCCATGTCAGCGAGATCAGAGTGTTTGTCTTCCCCAGGACCTGGCTATTTGTCATCTGGTGTCTGTTGTGCATATCACGGCTCGTTCCAGAACTTGGGTTTGTGGTAAGTCTGACACAGTCGCCTCTTCCCTTCCACAAACCACGCTAGCACCACGGGTCTTCTGTGGCCCAGGGCCCAAGCGCAGCAGGCTTACTGCACCACAGCCTGGACCTGCTTCAGAGTCCTTCCTGGTCAGTGCCTTCTGTGTCAGCTGATAGAGGGGTCAGAGCAGCATCCCAAGAGTAAATCAATCTGCCGCCTCCAGAACACAAAGAGGGCAAGCAAGTATCTTGCTTTCTTTGGGGTGTGGATGATACATGATATAGTAATTTGTCTGTTATTCTGGAGGGGATGTCCTGGCAAGCCCCAGACCATTTCTGGGTCCTTATCAATTTGTGAATGTGGCAGGCCCCTCACTCTTCTATTTTTTTAATCCTTGCCAGAGGACGTGCTTATTAATTTTATAAAAACAGGGGAAGGGAGGGAGAGAAACATCTATCTTGCCTCTTATAGGCACCCCAACTACAGATGGGACCTGCAAGCAAGCATGTGTTCTGACTGGGAATCAAACCCACAACCTTTAGGTTTATGGGACAATGTTCCATCCAACTGAGTCATACTGGCCAGGACACGACCCTGACTTTTATAAAGTTTAATCTCTCACTTATAACATGGTTCTTTGCATTTAATATTATTAGCATAATGTTATCATAATAGAGGACTAGAGTGATCTCCTGCAGGATGTCCAGCTGGTCCAGGTCCCTTTGAATTTTTTTTTATAACAGAGGATGGGAGAGGACACATAGCTCTGGGCCAAGGCTATAGATGTAGACTGCTGATTGCCTCACATGAAGGAAAACTAGTTTTAATAGTCCAAATAGGCTATAATGGGCTTAGTGCAACATGCCGGAAGTAGAACTATTAAAGCAGAAGTTAATGTGTCAAATAAGTAGGAAAAAGAAGTAACAGTAAACATATCCAAATGCTGGTTCTTTGGAAAAAAATTAACAAAATACACAAACCTCTAGTTAATCTAATGAAGAAAAAAGAGGAAGGCAACATATATAAAGTAAATGACAGGAACCAAATAACCATTGAACAAGATAGAATTTTAAATATAAGACTATATTGCACAACTCTTTGTGAACAGACTTAAAGATGAACATACTGAGACAAAAAAAAAATGTCCCAAATAAAGAGCAGATCAAAGCTCCAGAAAAAATATAACTTAGTGACGAAGAGATAGCCAACCTATCAGATGCACAGTTCAAAACACTGGTGATCAGGATGCTCATGGAATTGGTTGAATATAGTTGCAAATTAGAAAAAAAATGAAGGCTATGAAAAGTGAAATAAAGGAAAATTACAGGAAACCAACAGTGACAGGAAGGAAACCAAGACTCAGATCAATGGTTTGGAGCAGAAGGAAGAAAGAAACATTCAACAAAAACAGAATTAAGAAACAAGAATTCAAAAAAGTGAAGAGAGGCTTAGGAACCTCCAGGACATCTTTAAACATTCCAACATCCGAATCATAGGGGTACCAGAAGGAGAAGAGGAAGAGCAAGAAATTGAAAACTTAGTTGAACAAATAATGGAGGACTTCCCCAATCTGGCAAAGGCAATAGACTTCCAGGAAGTCCAGGAAGCTCAGAGAGTCCCAAAGAAGTTGGACCCAAGGAGGAACACACCAAGGCACATCATAATTACATTAGCCAAGATTAAAGATAAGAAGAGAATTTAAAAAGCAGCAAGAGAAAAAGAGACAGTTACCTACAAAGGAGTTCCCATAAGACTGTCAGCTGATTTCTCAGAAGAAACCTTGCAGCCAAGAGGGGCTGGAAAGAAGTCTTCAAAGTCATAAAAGGCAAGGACCTACATTCAAGATTACTCTATCCAGCAAAGCTATCATTTAGAATGGGAGAGCAGATAAAGTGCTTCCCAGATAAGGTCCAGTTAAAGGAGTTCAGCATCACCAAG